CTCCCCCCCGGAGCAGGGGCTGCAGGTCGGGAGTGCGGGGCACCGGCCGGGGGGGGGGTTGCGCTCTGCCCTCCCCCCCTTACCTGGCGCAGCCTCGTTCCGGGGGCGGGGGACTCGTTTCCGGGCCGCTCCCCTGGGCGGAAGGATCCGCTCTGGCCTGGTCCGGTTGCGCGCGGCCGGGACTCAGCGGCGGAGGGATCCGCCCCCCCTCGGCCCGTTCGCCGCCTGCCCGCCCCGGTGATGCGGCTGCCGGCGACCGCGCCCAGAGCTCGGCATAGACCAAGTGCGCGGCTTACGCGGGGGGAACTCACTGTGTGGGCGGGACCACCTCACTTCCTGGGGGACTAGGGTGATACCATCTGGGCCTTGCGCTGGGCGAGACCAAGTCACTTCCTCGAAGGCCGACCCAGACCTGCGACCCAGGGTTCCGATGGGAGATACCAACGCACGGGCGGGGGAGAGGGTGACACCATCTACCATATGGGGTGGAGCTTGCCATGGGAGATACCAACTGACTTCCTGATAGGGAGGGGGAGATCATCTACCAGAGGGAGAGAGCTTCTGGTGGGAGATACCAACTCACTTCTTAGGGTGAGGGAGGCTTGCAATGAGACATACCAACTCACTTCCTGGGAAGGGGTGCTGACACTCTATGTAATTAAGGGGCGGGGCGTGCGATGGTAGCAACCATCTCGTTTCCCGGGAGGAGGGGGAGACCATTTACCATGAGGGGGGTGCCTGGGAATAGGAGAAACCAACTGAATTCCTAGGGGTGCAGGGTGATACCAATGCCCAAATTGGGGAATGTAGAGAATGGCAAATACCAACTCTCTGGGGGAACAGGGTGAGATTTCCCGGATAGGGCGGTGTGGGCGGGGGGGAACTAGGGACGGGAGATACCAACTCGCTTTCGGGGGGGCAGGGCAGGATTACCTCACACACGGGTGGGGACTAAGGAATGGAGACGTCTCTTTTCCTGGGATGAAGGGAGAGACCATCTTGCAGACGTGCGGGGGGGAAGAAGTAGACATGGGAGATATCAATTCACTTCCGGGGTGGGCAGGGTAATACCAACTCCCAAAGCGGAGGGGTAGGGATAGGAAATACCAACCCTTACACATACTAAAGTGGGTTGTACCACTTGCGAAGGGGGAGAGGTGGGCTCCGGTTAAACCGGCAGGGGGAGCTGGGCTGTACCAAGTACCTGAAATGTGCACATCCCAGCCACACACAGAGGCCCCTTTTCCACTCCCCTCCCAGAGCCGGGGAGAGAACCCAGGAGTCCTGGCTCCCAGCCCCCCCTGCTCTGACCTC